GCTATAATTTTTATTTCACCTTCATAATCGGGATCAATTACCCCAGGACTTATCATAAGTCCTTTTAGAGTAGAAGAGCTGCATCCCAATAATAAGCCTACTGTTCCTTTGGGAAGAGGTCCTTTTACCCCTGTGAGAATGATTTGAACTCCCATCTCTGGAGTAAATACTGCTCTGGCCGAGGCGCAGATGTCCAACCCTGTGTGCCCTCTGGTTTGTCTGATGAGGGATCTAATGAACAATATGTCCTGGGCACTACCTTGATGGGGTTGCTGGGTTCCTCCAGTGCTCTGTATATTTGTGGTCTTGGGCCCCGGAGCATTGGACCCCCCTGTCCATTTTTTGGCAATGGAGCCTGATGCCTTTTTCCACAATATCGTGGATAAACACCTGGTCCTTGTTCATGTTTTGATAATGGAGTACCCTCTATGGTGGTTTGAGAATGGCATTCATTAGCCCAATGTCTCCCTCTATGGCATCATGGGCAAATACCCAGTATTCTACTCCTTTGATACCTAGTTTTGTTAAACCCTCCTCCTATGGGGCAATTCCTTTTAAAATGTCCTGTTTGTTCACAATTATAGCATGTTCTTGGCCTGGCATCTAAAGCCTGTTTTACTGCAGCTGGTTTTCATCTGAGCTCAGGTGAGGCACCAGAAGCAGATGGACCCAGTTTACAATCTCTCTCTTCCACTCACTAATATGAGATCAAACACACTATATTTTTGGCACTATCTTCAGATAACTCTCTTTTGCACTTTCTCATTTTCATAAATCTCAGATATTTTAAAAAGAGGCACAGAATTTTAGAAATGGAAGCATCCTGAGTGATCTAGGGCATAAATGTATCACAATTGGTACCAAGTCCAGTCTCATGGCCTTATTAATTCACTTCTCTTATCTTTTGGGTATCTGTAAAAGTGGATAAATACTGACTTCTTTATTTTATTAATGAAAATTTAATGAGATATTTAATATAATGATTTAATGAGAGAGAACCCAGCACATAATACATATTAGTAAGTAAAATCTCCCCACACTCTCTATCTTTTCTCTCATACAAGAGATATACCCTTTTGTACCTCTCCCATCTGTTGTATTCCAATGACATGGGCTCACTGATTTAGCTCATGTGACAAATAGGTACATGGTTATCTGAGTTAACATAAAGTTAAGTGGTCTTGGGAAACTCTCTGTCTTATTTTTCTCATCTATAAAATTGGAAGTTGTATGCTTGCATTATCTGCCTTAAACTATGATCTGGATACAAAATGTATCATTAAATGAGTTAGTTATTTATAATTAAATGTTATGATCATGTCATTATCAATCATATGATAATGGTGGTGGTGATGATGGTAAGGGGATGGTGATGCAATTTTATTCTCTTAATGTTACTAGAATCTTCCCCATAATGCTGTTTGTGACACTCAGTCCTTTTTCTTTTCTATTTTGAGACAGCATCTCATTTAACTGCCCAGGATGGTCTCATATTTGCAATCCTCTTGCCCCAGCCTTTTGAATCACTGTGATTACATGTATGCATCACCAAACCCAGACCCATAACCTAGATGTGCAATAGTCTACTTTCTTACTCTGAGTTAAAATTAGATGGATCCTTGAGTTCATCAGTTTCATATCTCTTCTCTGATGCAAAAATTATCTCTTCTTCCATATTAACACTTCTTAATACTCAAGGCTCCTCATCCATGCCCTTCTAAAATCTGATATTCTCACATAGTATGTAAACATATTTTAAAGTAGAAGAGAAAGGGGGCATGCTCACGGGCTAAGGTGTAGTTTTGTTGTATAGCAGTTGTCTAGTAGGTGCAAGTCCTTGTTTTAATTGCCAGTACCACACAAAGGAAGAGAAAAAGAAAAAAATAGGGGGGGCATGTTCATGCCTGGCTGCTCCAGGAAAGCAGGAAGGAACTGCCAGTTGTCAGCATCATGGACAGCTGCCTGTGGTGCCATGTTCCTCCAATACCCCGGTTTCAGAAATGAAATGTTCTTAGAGATTAAGGGCATATTGTATCAGGGCCAAGACCATTAACAGTCTCTCCCTCTCAGTGCCTCAATTTGTGTGTGTAAAGTGAGATAATAAGATCATAGGACCTTTATGGCCCTTTCCAGAGCTACAATTCTATGGCATTCCTAATGGCCAGATTCAAAATTTGCTCTGCTTCTTCTGGGGCTCTACTTCACATGGAGTGATGAGCGCTCCGGTCCAGTACCAGCAAAAGCACCTGATCTTGAGCTCCCCTACTTCTCTGCACATCACACACATCCATTCTTCATGTGTGTATCGTACCCATATGGTGAGGAAAACTTCCAACATTGAAGCTAAAGAACACATTAATTTAAAGGGAAAGCCTCTAGGCACTAACTAAGCATCATCTCAGGCTTCCAGAGAAAGTTGATTTTTTTTAAGTCAGATATGGTAAGACATAAGATCCCAATAGTCTCTATTTTTTATTCTCTTTATGTTACTAGAATCAAACAAAGCTTTCCTCTCCATCTGATCTGTTTCCAAACTATGTCAGAAGAGCCTGACCCTTCTCTTACCTATGACTATGCCCCCAAAGCATGGTCAAGTCAAGGTGGCAAATTTCTTATGCACTGATTCACTGAGCACAGTAAATTTGAAGGATAAGGCAGCTGAAATGGCCCTGTACCTCCCTCCCTGACCTCAACCAAGCCTCATAGTAAACTTTCCAAAATACACTTATCCATCTCATCTTTCCGCATTCCTCCTAGGGAAGGGATCTGAGCTCTGATGAAGGCATTTAGTGAAAGCGTTACACAGTCTTACTGTTGTAAGAGAAACTTTTTTTTTGTACCAGGGATTGAACTCAGGGGCACTTGACTATTAAGTCATATCCTCAGCCCTAATTTGTATTTTATTTAGAAACAAGGTCTCACTGAATTGCTTAGTGCCTTGCTTTTGCTGTAGCTTGCTTTGAACTCATGATTCTCCTGCCTCAGTTTCCTTTATTGCTTTATTGGATTACAGGTGTGTGCCACCACACCCAGCAAGAGTAAGTTTTTATGGCTTGGAAATCAGCTTTGACTCATAAATCACCTATTTCAATGGTATCCTTCGGTGTTTCTTGGAGGTTCTCCTCTTCTGCATCCAAGTCAATACGTTCCTCTGCTGTTGTGCAGACTCCAACAGAGACGATAAAGCTGTGGGAAAACAGAGAAAAAGTTAATGTAAAAATCCAGTGTCTTCAGCCAAGCAGTAGGAGAGCAAAGAGATAACCATCAAGAAAAGAAAAGGAATGTGGACTCTTAGTACCAACAAAGAACATAGATTACATTTCTCACCCACAGCATAATCTCTCAATATGTTGGAAACTTAGATGTAAATAATACCCATGTATACATGATATATGGATAGAAGTTAAAGAGACTGCCTCAGATAAAGAAATATTTGTTCAGTGATTATTTTTACACATTTTATGAATTGTTCCTTTTGGCACTGATACTAGGAAGTAAGACTAGACAAAACAACCATTTGTCCAGATCAGCAGTGTGAGGTCATAATTTTATACTATGTCATATTATGAGGATAAGAATATGCAGAGGGATACATCAAGTTGGTAGAATAGAGATAACCAGCACTAGTTTGCTCCTCCATGGGATGGAAACAAAGAAAAACATTGTGTAACTGCTCACAGAAGTAAGAAACTATGAGTGAACACTGGAAATTGATAGCACAGAAAATTAAACCTGGTGAATTCCAGAGACAACAGAGAATAGCAAAGCAAAAGAGGTAGAATACCTCAGCTCCTGGTGCCTGACACCCTGGTCAGGGGGAGGCACTGATTCCTGCAAGGAGGTAAAATCTACAGAGAAAGAGTCATGGCATGTGATAGAAGGATGCACCCTGCAGACTAACCGGTTTTTTTTTTTAAAGAAGTGTGGAGATAGTGTAAATGATTGTTCTGTAACTAATAGAGCACTTGTTTTATTTTTTTAGAATATTTATTTTTTAGTTTTCGGAGGACACAACATCTTTGTATGTGGTGCTGAGGATCGAACCTGGGCCGCATGCATGCCAGGTGAGCACGCTACCACTTGAGCCACATCCCCAGCCCAATAACAGTTTAAATAAATAGATGACCTGGAGTCTGCTTAACAAGCTAGCTTTAAAGAAGGAACTCAGCCGTGTCTCTCAGCAAACCCTCAGAGTGCTATGGCGAGGATCCATCTTGAGTAGGGTCCTATTGTTAAGGACTAAACCGCTCTGTGATCAGAAGACCCAACAAAATCACATTTTAGTGTCCCTATGAACATTCCTATGCACTGACTGGGTCAGCAGTGGCCAGTATAACTTGGGGGAGTATCCCTGACAAAAGTTTCTGAGAAATTTATGCAGGGGTTTATTTATGATTTACTTATGCAAGGAACATAAACTACAATACATACATGAGAATGGAGGAAACAGTAATTCAGCAGTTCTCCCTTCTGTTATTTGAAGTGACCCCAGAAGTGTATTATTTTGTGTGGGGGCCAGGTCTGAAGTCATGAGGATAGAGGTCAGCAAATCGTTTGGTTTCCACAACCAAAAGTACAGAACAAAGAATATTAAAGGCTGCAATAGAGCAGTGCAAACTCACATGTAAAGGCAAACCTATTAGAACAAAAGCAGATTTCTGGGTGGAAAATATTATCACCAGGAGGGTATGGACTGGTGTATTTCAAATACTGAAAGAAAGTAAATGCCAATCTATATTAGTATACTCAGCAAAATTATTCTTCACATTTGAATGATAAATAAGCACCTTCCATGATAATCACAAACAAAGGGAGTTTATGGCCATGAAGCCAGCACTACAGAAGATACTTAAGGGACTTCTATACCTAGAAGAGGAAAAATGATAACCACAATCATGAGAACACAGGAAAGAATAAATCTCACTAAAAGAGTTGATAAGCAAATGAGAATTAGGAAAAAAACCAAACATTATTAATATGTAAAACTACCAATCTTCTAAGACGAATAAGAAAAACAAATATAGAATATCCAAAACTACCTGAAGATAAACAAAAAATTTAGAAGCTGTACACACTTTTCAACAAAAATCCTGAATGTAAATGAATCCTCCAATTAAAAAATACATACTGGCCAACTGGATTAAAAAACAAGATGTAACAATCTGCTGCATACAAGAAACTCATGTCACAATTAAGGACATGAACAGACTGAAAATGAAAGGATGGAGAATTAAATTTCATGAAAATGAAATATGAAAGCAAATAGCAGTATTTAATTATGATTTACTTTTAGCCAAGATTTGTCAGAAGAGACAAGGAAGATCACTACAGACTTACAAAGGGAACAATTCATCAAGAAGATATAATGATTATAAATATATATGCACAAAATGTCAATATATATTATATTCAATAGTCTTAGTTTAACAAAGACTATTGAATATAAACAAAGAGATAAGCTTAAATACAATAATAATAGATGATTTCAATATCACACCCTCAGCAAGTGATAGATCATCCAGACAATAAACCATCAAAGAAACATCAGAGTTAAGTTATACTACAGATCAGGTGGACTTAATATACAACCACAGAAATTTCACCCCAAAACTGTATAACACGTATTTTCATAAGTACATGGAAGATTTTCCAAAATAGATCATATATTAGGCCATAAATCAAGTCTTACAAATGATAAAAAATTGAAATAATTTGTTATATCTAATCAGATTATAATTTAGTGAAACTAGAATTAAGATGAAGAGGAACTACAGAAATTATATGAACACATGGAGATTGAACAATATACTTTTTTTGGTGGTATGAGGTTACTCTAACACTGAGCTACATCCCCAGCTCTATCTTTAATTTTATTTTGAGATAGTATCTAACTAAGTTGCCAAGGTTAACTTCAAACTTGTGATCCTTCCTGACAAGTATCTGGGATTATAGGTGTCCACCACCACACCAAGCTGATAATACACTTTTGAATAAACAGTGGGTCATTGAAGAATCTGGAAGGAAATTTAAAAATTTCTAGAATCATGTGAAAATGGAAATATAGCATACCCTTATTTTGTGGGATACAATGAAAACAGTATGAAGAGGAAAATTTAGAGCTATGAGTGTTTGCATCAACAACAACAACAACAACAAAACCATAGAGATCATAAATAAATAACCTAAACATGGCAAGGCTAAGAACAAACTAAACCCCCAATCAATAGAGTACAGAAATAATAAAGATTAGGGCAAAAATAAATAAATTAGAGACAATATGAATGTTACAAAGGATTGATGAAACAAAGATTTGGTCCTAAGAAAAGATAAAATTCACAAGCTCTTGACTAAATCTACCAAAAATAAGAGAAATAAGACCCAAATAAATAGAAGGAGATAAGAAGGGGGATATACAACTGATACCATTGAAATTCACTGGATCATTTGGGAATATTTTTAAAAACTTTATGTAAAACAAATTTAAAAATATCTAGTGGACAAATTTCTGGACACATATGACATTCCATAATTAAACAAAATAGAAAATAAAAAATAAAATTAAAATAAAAAGATAAATAGATCAATAAGAAATGAGATTAAAATAGTCATAAAAAGTATTACAACAAAGATAAGCTCAGAATAGATTCACTGCTGAATTTTACCAGACTTTTAAAGAAGAAATAATACCAACTACCAAAGCTCCTCAAAATACTTCATAAATTAGAAAGGGAAGGACCCTTTTAAACTCATTCTACAAAGCCAGTATTACTCTACTATGATAACATGATAAGGACACAACACATATACACATAAGGAAACTATAGGTCAATAACCCTGTCATCATAGTGCATAAAATCTCAATAAAATACTTGCAAATTGAATCAACAGCACATTAAAAGATCATTCACCATGAGCAAGTTAGTTTTATTCCAGTGATGTAAGTCTGATTCAACACACACAAATCAATAAATGTAATACAGCACACAAATAGAACCAAATATGTCAACACAATAAAGGTTATATATCACAAGCCCATAGCTAACATCATACTGAAAAGAGAAAAATAAAATCATTTCCTCTAAAACCAGAAAAATACAAGAATGTCCACCCTTATTCAATATAATATTTGAAATTTCATCCAGAGCAATCAGGCAAGAAAAACAAATAAAAGAGATACAAAGAAAAAAATGAGGAAGTCAGATTTTCCCTCTTTGCAGATAGTGCAATTCTATATTTAGATAACCCTAAACCCTAAAACACTTTTAGAACTCATAAACAAATTTAACAAAGTAGCAGATACAAAATCAAACATAAAAAAATCAATAACTGTTTTATACATCAAAAATGAACTTCCTGAGAAACAAATTAGGAAAAAAACTCTCACTTTACAATAAGTGAGAAAAACAAATAAATAATATACCTAGGAATAAACTTGACCAAGATGATAAAAAACCTACAATGAAAATTTCAAAGCCCTGAAGAAAAAAACTGAAAAAGAGACTAGAATGTGGAAAAACACCACTGAACATGGATTGGGAGAATGAATATTGTTTAAATGAGTATACTACAAAAAGTGATCTACAGATTCAATATAATCCTCATAAAATACCAATGACATTCTTCACAGAACTAGGAAAAACAATCCTAAAATTCATATGAAAGCACAAAAGACCCATAATAGCCAAAGCAATCCTTGGCAAAAGAGCAACACTAAGGGATGATAATTCTTGGTTTCAAAACATACTACAGAGCAATAATAATAAAAATAGAATGTCATTGGCATACAAATAGGCAGGCAGTTTGATTAAATAGAATAGAGGACACAGAAATAAACTCATGCATCTTTAGCTAACTGATTCTCAACAAAAGTCCCAAAAAATATGTTGGAGAAAAGACAGCCTCTTCAACAAATGATGTTGGGAAAACTGAATACCCACATAAAGAAGATTGAAACTAGGGCTCTCTCTCTCATCCTGTACAAAAATAAATCCAAATAAATAAATAAATAAACCCAAAATGAATCAAAGAGATTAACGTAAGACCTGAAGCTTTGAAATGACTAGAAGAAAGCATAGATATTGCTACAAGCAACAATTTCCTTGAATAGGATTCCAATAGCCCAGGAAACAAAAGAAATAATTGACAAATAAGATCACATCATATTAAAAAGTTTCTGCACAACAAGAGAAACAATTATCAGAGTGAAGAGATAACGTACACTATAGCAGGAAACAAAATCTTTGCTAGCTATTCATTTGACAAAGAATTAATATCCAGAATATATAATTTTTAAAAATTAACAAAAGAACAAGCAATCTAATCAAGAAATGAGCAATTGGTGTGAATAGATACTTCTCAAGAGAAGAGTATGGATGGCCAATAAATATATTTTTAAATGATATATATCTTTATTCATCAGGCAAGTGCAAATCAAAACTATAGTAAGATTCCATCTGGAAGTATAGTCAGAATGGCTATTATAAAAATTAATAAATAAATAACAAATGCAGGCAAGGATGTGGAGAAAAAAAGAACCCTTTTACAATTTTGGTGGGAGTGTAAATTAGCTCTGTCACTATAGCAATCAGTATGGAGTTTCCTTAAAAAATTAAAAATAGAATTACCAAACAATCCAGCTATATCAATCCTGGGTATATATCCAGAGGAAATAAGTCAGTGTACCAAAGAGGTACCTGTACACCCATGTTTTTTTACAGCACCATTCATAATTGTAAAGATACTGAATCAGTCCAGGTGCTCATCAACATATGAATGAATTTTTAAAATGGTATATATACACTATGGATATCATTCAGTCATAAAGAATAATGAAATCATGTCATTTTCAGGAAAATTGATGGAATTGGAGGATATATTAAGTGAAATCAGCCAAAAAAATAACAAGTAGGGCATGTTTTCTCCAGTCCATTGGTAACTACCTTGCTTTCTCGACTTTAAAAGGAAACACAGAACTAAATGTGTTTGAGGCTATAAGTTTGAGGCATGGGGAAGCAAGTGATAGCTCTATGAAAGAAAGCCTGTGACAGATACAGTCAATAAACATCATGCTGATTTTGCAGTAACTAAATCAGTTTTTATTTGACATATAGGTTTGTCACGGCTTTTGGAAATTTGGCAATGATGTTGAAGGTCTCTAATGGTCCTATAGTTCTTGTATTCAGGTATGCATAAATAAAGTATTAATAAAAACTTTTCTCTTTTTGTATGGGCATATATGATCTTGGGTTAATTTCTTATCTCTGTTCCCTTGGAAACCTGAAAAAGATGGAATGCCATTTGAATTGGTTTTGCAGACTTATATTGCTTATAGGCCCATAATTACTCATTTTTTCTAGATTGGAAGGGATATGAATGAACCCTAAACCAATGGGAGCATTTTGATTTAAAGAAGAGTACTTTTAATTTATGAAGTCTTAAATCAATTGAACCTTGATATTGTATTATGATTTGAATGTCCCTTCGAAAACTTATGTTGAAATTTAACTGCCATTGTGACCGTATTAACAGGTGTCAGCATACTACAGCGATAGAGGCACATCACATTTTATAGCAGTGCAATTCACAATAGTCAAATTATGGAACAATCCCAGGTGCCCATTAACAGATGAATCAATAAAGAATATGTGGCATTGCTACAGGGCCTGACTCAGGCCTAAATGAAGGAATATTTATCTTGCTCATTGTGCGGCAGGGAAGTCCTACCATAGAATGCTATGTTTTGGGACAGAGTGCTGTCAGAACTCCGGCAAGTACCATTTCCTTGCTCCTTTGACAAGGAGATTTTCCCCTGTTGGTTCAAGGTAAGCCTACATGGCAGTTTCTAAACTCTTCGTGTCTGGACTCCTGTAAGATAATATGTTGTATATCACTTCTGGACTATCATTACTGTTATATGTAAATTGGCACATACCCACTATAAAAGCTATTTTTGCTGTGTAATAAAACAGACACTGTTCTCTGAAACCATCTCTGGAGGGGTTTTTCCATGCTCTCAAGCTCCCCACAGTAGACACCGGAAGGGCAGGACCCTCAGCATGGCATGTGTACACAATAGCTTTTTAATTTTTTTAGTTGTTGATAGACCTTTATTTTTTATTTATTTATATGCAGTGCTGAGAATTGAACCCAGTGCCTCACACATGCCAGGCAAGTATGCTACTGCCAGACCCCAGCCCCAGAACCACAATGGCTTTATACTGAGCTACAAAGGAGAATGGAGTAATGTCATTTGCTGGTAAATGGATGTAATTGGAGAACATCAGGCTAAGTGAAATGAGTCAGACTCACAAAGTCAAAGGTCAATTGTCTTTGCACATAAGCAGAAGTTAGAAACAAGGAGAGAAGAGGGTTGGGGAATCCCATGAAGACAGAAAGGAGATCAGTAAGGAAAAAGAAGGGGATTAAGGGTGACAGAGGATGGAAGGGAAAAGGGAGGAACTCCAGAATGAAATTGATCAAGTTATGCTATGTACATAAATGAGTATTCTACATTCAATTCGACCTTCATGTATATCTATGAAGCACCAATTAAAAGCAGTGAATAAACAGAAGTAAGTCCAGTAGAGTAGAGGAAGAAAATGGGCAAGGAGGAGACAAGGAAAAATGGAAGTACTGGGGATTGAAATGGAACAAATTATATTCCATGTATGTATGCATATGTCAAAATTAATCCCACTAATATTTATAACTATAATGCAAAAATAAGAACATTTTTTTAAAAAGGGATAATTAGATAATGAGGAATCTGTTCTTATGAGTGGATTAAATCCACTATTATGGGAGTACTTTTTTAATAAAAGGATGGAGTTTGGCTTCCATTAATTCATATCCCTTTCTCATTCTCTCTTGCCACTTAATGCCTTCCATGAGTTTATGATGTGGCAAGAGGGTCCTCACCAGATGCACCCATCAATCTTAGACTTGAGGCTTCAAGAACAAAAAATGAAATAAACTTTTATTATTTATAACCTACCCAATCTGTGGCATTCTGTTATAGCAGCAGTAAACAGACTAAGATATATTGTTAGAAATATTTTGAATTTTATGGACAACTGTTTGGCAGCTTAAGTGGAAAATATCAAAAGGTAAAACATACTACAGATTTCTCTGAGTTTAGAAATTTTTGTAACCAGGCCTCAGAAGCTTCAACTATGGGACTGTTATAAGTAACACCAGATACTATTTTGAACATAGGTTTCTGAGCCATGGTAGCCCTGTGCTTGCTCATGTGATGTCATTTCCCCTGCTCATGTACTATCACTCAGGGAGTAGGATCCAGAGACAACCCCCCTGGACTGAAGTGTGGACTGTAAAAAGATTCCCATTAAAAATGCATTCTTGAAACTTCCTAGCTGGCATACCATGTTTCCTAACCTGTGTCCTTCTACACAAAACTAATGGCAAGTACAAACCATTTTATTCATGCAGGTGGGAGATATCTAGTTGAGCTGAGGTCGACCAAGAGTGCTGCAACATGAATGTGAAACAAGGACAGACGAGGTCTTCTGAATGGATACTCACATGCACATCTGGAATGGGCTTGGTGAACAGGGAGATGACCACAATGGTGATGACAGAAATGACAAAGAGGATAATGGCAAAATACAAGTAGTGGACCCCACAGATAATGGTGGGACAGTTGCTGGGCTCCATGCAGCTCCCAGTTCCATAGGCAAACTCAGTAATCATACGGGAAATTCCAATCAGAAATCCTAGGATGAGTCCCCAAAAGGCTCCCTGTGAAAGAAAACCCTGAATTAATGAGTGCTGAACCCACAAAACAGGTGGGAATTCTAACATTCCAAGAGATGGGCAGAGGCAAAGGAATAAAGCTGAGAGAAATGGTAGCTCTAGACCATCTGAAGCCAGGACATCATGGTACAGGAAGGGCTGGGACTGTTTAATCAGGCTTCTAGGGGGTCTCTCTATCTTGTTCAGCAGCATGATTTCACCTGCATCATTAAACAAGGACTCATAATATAATGGAGTAAAGTGATTAATAACTCATATGGAATTTTAATCTCCTCTAAATTCCAAAAATTCATTCTAACTTAAAAAAATATTTGAACTCTCCACCTTAGCTATTGTCACCATCTGCCTCCAGATTTAGGTCTGTTTAGATATTACGTGATCACTTGTAAAGTATTTTGTCTACCTTGAATATACCAAAAAATTAATTAGGTATCTGTGGGATGGAGAAAGTAACTTTTCCATATAAATAGTTCTTCAATCCCCTTTATAAACCCAAAGTCATAAATTTTAGTTTAATAACACAACATTATATAATGGATTTTTGTATCAAATTTGGGGTTTGTATATGAGATACACAGATGCTTCCAAGAGACTAGAAGAATTAGGGGACTATTTTTCAGAGATTTTTAAAGACTCTTCATTCGTCTTTCTTCCTTTCTTCACCTTTTCTTTTCTTTGTTTTCTTCCTCCTTTTTTTACTTTCCTTTACCTCCTCTCTTTGCTTCTTCCTTTTCTTATTTTTTTTTTTTTTTGCCTTTTGGTCTGTTCTCACCAAAGGCCTCTATTTCTGAAAGCTACAAATTAAGTGAGCCAGTGGCAAATGTGAATGTGCTCTTAGAAGGGTGGCCAAAATGAAACTTCATAATTTTGTCAGGTGTTGATCAGTCCCTTGGCTAGCCACAGTTATCCCTATACTTTATATTCCAAGCATGTTAATTTAAGAGCTGTTCTTTAAGTATATTTATGTCCAGTATTTTTGTTTATGTCATTCTCTCTATCTGTGAGAATATGGATATTCTTCCTGGTAAATTTGCTCTATTTTAAATAGAATAAACTATAGAGAACTGGGTGGGTTCACCCTCCTTGCTGTGGCCACAGGATTGTGAACACATGTCCACGTCAGACCAATTCTACTGCCATGCAATCACTTATTCATTTCTCTGCTTCTACATTTTAACTGGGAGTTTTTCCAGAGAAAGAACCAAGTTTCATTCAATTAATGTAGCTAGTGCCTGGCCCGATGCCTGGCATCTGAAATTAAATTAATAAATGAGAAAGAAAAAAAACATTCCCCATAATGTATTCCTTTAAAAACACTTTTATTTTAGTTACTATGAATAATGCTGATAAAACTTACAAAAATTTCTTCTTTTTTTGGAAATTAACTTCTATTCCTTTACTTTTATTCTCAAGTGGCTCTTAAAAAAATTGATAGCCATTGACATTTTCTTGTGCATTTTAGGATATTTAACATATCCCTGACCTCTAACCACTAGGTATATGCAGGGTTCTCTGAAGCAGAATTATCAAAAATATTTACAAACATTGCTCTTAAAGGGGGTTAAAAAATACCTCCAATGGAGTATGACTATGGTCTATATCAATTCTTATTTTTATTTTTGAAAGTGCTGCCATTGCCAAATTGGATATTCTTGTGGCCTGTTGCAGTGCCAACCTGGGCTTTTAGACATAAGATGACAATTTTATTTTAGAAATATTCCAGGGAACCAGCTTTCTGCTAATCCCTATTGAAATTTGTCTAAAGAAATGTATCTATGTATCTAACCTGTTTTGATTAATTTCTGGTTTAATTCTGATCTTGCCAAGGTACTGTGTGCCCAGTTTGGTGTAACTAGAAAATCTGGATTATTTTAAAACAACAAAATTGATCTGCTCTTATAGAATTTAAAAAGAACTGGTTTAAGGATCAACATTGTTGCTTTAAGATAATTGTCAACTTTTGTATTTTATCAGGATAATTTATTGTGTCTATTAGATTTTCATTACTTAGGGACACTAAGTCTTGAAAGAATTATGGTTTGTTTAAGTTCCTGTCTGTTTTAACACCTTTTAAATGATTGCTTCATAACTCTGGTGAAATAAACAACTGTTATTTTAGGTTATTTTATTACATCTAGCACCCTAAATATATGTTACTAGAAATGTGCTACATCTGAGGGCTAAATATGTTTGTTTGAATTTTGTCTAAATATTATAGAAAAAAAGCTTGTAGAATTAAAGCTATGTAGGTTTAATATGGACAAGGTGACCATTAAGTGTTCTCCTCTATAGAATATATGTTGTATCTATAACTTAAATATAAATGGTCAATGAAACTTTTATAATTTCTGCCATTTGTATTTGATCTGTATCTGTTTGCTTTACTAAATAAATATCTTGTTATTTAAAAAAAATAAAAAAGAAAAGAAAAATAAAATCTGCAAATGCGGAAAGAAGAGATATACCTGTTGTGTTTTGTGCACCTCAAACTGGGTTACTCCACTGAGGTACTTCTCTGATGCAGTATATATCTGTTTCTTTCCTTTTGGGAGTAAGAAAATGTCTCCAATCAAAACTATGATATCAATTTTATTCTTTTGGATGGTAAGCCACATGGTCAGCACTGCTACTCTTTCTCAGCCCTTCCCAGGGGAAGATTGGAAACAGAAAGCTGAGCAACACCCTAGTTGAATAGCATATCCAAATGCATCTTTCTCATTGTGCTTTAAAAATAGCAATGGCACCCCACTGTTGGCTTATATTCTTTAACCTGGTTTTCAAGTGACCATTCCTATTCTAACTTTGACCTGCTTTTCTAGCTGTATCTTCAATTATTCACAAACTCTCCAGCTAGGTGAGATTCCTTGCTAGTCCCCTGCCTTCCCCTTATCCTTTAATTTCCACATTTGGGCAAGTCTCTTCTCCCTGCCTTAAATTCCCTCTCTTTCTTTTTAAATCCCTGAAAACCCACTTTTTCCAAAGTACCTTCCCTTACCATTTCAGCATGTGTTGATTGATATAGCCTTTCCTGAATCTCTTCCTACTTACATTTAAAAAAATTTTTGTTTGTAGTTGTAGATGGACAGAATGCCTTTATTTTATTTGTTTATTTTTATGTGGTGCTGAGAATCGAACCCAGCACCCTGCACATGCTCCCAAGTACTCCATCACTGAACTACAGCCCCAGCCCCTCTTCTTACCTACAATTTGAACCACATTTTAAAAATGCTTTAATTCTTATCTATCTCATATTGTTTTTAAGATAAAACGTTTGAGCAACAGGACCTTTTCCTTCACTGGGTCCTAAATAGTGCTGGCTGAAAAACCAAGTTCACACCACAGCCACTGGAAGTAACTTGTTCTAGGATTTCCTGTGGAGCTGCTCACCCAGAGACTACAAACTTCATAGGAGGCACCAAGGTTGCATAGAAAATGTGCAATATGAGTTGAGACCTTGTACCAAGAAGGACAGGGTACTTATAGAGAAAGTACACCCAGTACTAACTCCTGAGGAGTTTTTTTTTTTTAATTTATTTTTTTTATTGTTGGTCGTTCAAAACCTTACACAGTTCTTAATACATCATATTTCACAGTTTGATTCAAGCGGGTTATGAACTCCCAACTTTACCCCATATACAGATTGCTGTATCACATCAGTTACCCTTCCATTG